GGAATAGTCTCCTTTTTGCTTTTAGGAAACATATTAATACTGGGATTAGCAGTTTGTGTTCTGAGTCACTGTGCAGATACTTTGGGCTTTTATACAGGGAAGTAATAGCTGCATAATCCTGTAAGATAAAAAAGGCTTTAGAAAATTCTACTTGAGTTTTGTTTTCAAGTTTACATTATGAGCTCTTAACACTTCAAAGGAAGTGGATAGTGTTTTTCCTTAACAGCCTCATGTAACTGAGCTAAGGAAGGCTATAAAAACTGTACTTTGCTGCAGTACAAGACAGAAAAATTTAGTAGTGTGCAACTTGAACATAGTTTAAGCTTTGCGTAAAAATTCTGTTAAAAGATACCACTTGAAATAAAAACCTTGTTAATCGATGAGGTTATTCTTGGCCAGCAGGCCGCACTCAGCCTTCTGGCTAAGGTGCTGGGGAGGAATGCTGTATTCCCGAAAGCGCCGGGAGCGGAAGGGAGAGCGGGGTGTGGGGAGCCAAGCCGCTCGCACGGCTCCCCCATGGAAGCCTGGCCGAGTGCCTTAGACGTGGGCTCTGACGGGCCACCTGCAGCTCATCAGGGCCGGCCCTGGGGAGGGCAGCCAGCCAGAGCTTCCAGTGCTCGGGGGCAGAGGGAGCGATGGGAGCTGGAGCGTGTGCGGAGGGGCGGGCGGGGGGGGGGGCTAAAATGGTAAGCAGTGTGGTTGGGGGGGGGGGGGGGGCTGGCGCGGGGCTTGGTCATCAAACTTGAAGTTTTCTTAGGGGTAGTCGAATCCAGCAGCCTCCGGGGAGAGGTGAGGCTGGTGCAGCTCCGTGCCCCAGGTGCTGCCAGTATCAGGAGCGACCATGTGTTCCCAGCGGGCAGAGGCACTGGGGTGCAGGGGTGCACAGGCAGATGAACACAGGCAGACCCACGGAGCACTCGCGTGAACACAGACGGCACCGACGGTCTCACGCTCTACCCTTGCCTAGTGGTTCAGAGTGGAAGTCTGTTAGTGCAAACACTCCCCCACCCCAACCCCACAAAAAAACCCGAATACCAAAACGAAACGGCAACAACAAAAAAGTGGAGCTGGGTTCAGGCACTCTCTGTCCAGTAGCAGCTGCTGGATCTTGGTCTTTCCAGTTGCTGGCACCACAGACATGTGGGTCTTCTGACCTGTGCTCTGCCTCCAGTTGCTGGCACTGACATGGTCCTGATACACAAACATGTTCAGAATCAGAACCTATCATCCAGGAAAACAGAAACGGAATGTAATGAAAAGACAGGACAGGTGGTGCTGATCAGGCACAGGGCATGACTATACAATTATTATGACCAGTCCCTGTTTACAGGTGATCAGCCTCTTTTATCTTCTTAACTCCCTATTTTTTTTTTTCTCCATATTTTTTCCTTCCTGAATCCTCTTCCCTTGTGTTTGGCTCATCCACAGACATCACATGATAAGTCCCCTACCATCCTAATTCCCTGGCATCTTACAGCATGTCCCATACCATTGGGCAGCAACCCCTCTTGGTCCAAACAGTGCTTGAGCATTAATTTATCCTGATGGGTCTTATGTCTGGAAACTGGGGCTGAGGCTCTCCTGTGATAGCCCTGGGAGGAGCCTGGACAGAGCATCCTTTCCTTGAAGTCCTTAATTTGGGTTCCTCATCTGCCCTTGTGCCTCTCTGCTCCTCTGACATGGGGAGATGGGCCTTTGGTGGGCTCATGTGCCCAGTTATGGCCCTGATGCTTTTAGTTTTGGGGATTACTGTTTCAGAAATGGAGATGAGGCTTTTACAAGTCATAGAAAAATGGGTCCCACGTGAAGTCTTCCACATAAATCTATAGGAACTGTGTACAGAGTCTGTGTTCAGTTACAGAGTTTTTGCAACAAATACTAGCATAGATTATTGTTAGTCTTGTTAGGCCTGGGCTCGCCATTCTGCATCTTGGTCTAGAAGCTACCGATCAAGCTGCAGCTTGTAAATAGAGATTATCTTTTATGAAGTTAAATATTAGTTACAAAACCAGACAAGCTTTCGCAGTCATTTCATCCGTGTGTACGTATACTTGTTGTGAGAGAAGGGAGTGGTGAAACGTGTCACTACTGTACCATACATGTCTTAAAAGGTCCATTTAGTTAATGCAGAACCAAATGATGTTGATGCCAACGGTTCTAACAATCTATAATAGATGATTTTGCTTTTTTTTACAATACTTTTTTTCCCTATAAATTAATTTAGCCTCTGTCTGGAATTTATTTGGAAACCAATTCTTAATTACGGGCATTATACTGTTGTTTACAAACTTTGGAATTGATGTCGATGCTGCTTTCGAAGGAATGTAATGCCTCATTTTTTGATGATTACGCCTGCTGTCACAGAGAGGATTTGAGCATTTGTCTGTAACTTTTGTTTGTGTCAGCTAATGCTTTTTAGTTGCCAAAATTAAATATTATTTAAAACGTTTTAATAAATCTAAGACTTGTACATGAGAACGGGTAAGTGGTGTGCATGCAGAATACATATGGTCATAGCATTTAAAGTAAGTGCTTATTGGTGTGTGATTATGTGACCTTTGGTTACTGGGGATGTTCTGGCAGCTGCATGATAGGTTTATGGTCTTAAAGAATGAAAAAAAGAGAAACAAAGACATATCTTTATCAAAAGAAGGCGACTTAAGCCTGTGAAATGTCTTAAAGGTTCCTTTAGAAACTGTGGTTTGTAGGTGTTTCTGTGAACTTAATACAAAGAGGCAGTAGTTGACACTGGTTCTCTGAATCATCAGTTGTCTCTCCTGGCAGCTGAAACTAATATCAGCATTAATGAACAGCATCATGCTTATTTGCAGGCACATACATACCATATTTGTGTTGATTTTTCTCTCCTTTTTGTTGGAATTAGTTTTTTTCTGTAGCATCATGTGACGGATACAGTATGAATAGACGTTATCTTGAGGATACAATTGGTTGTAGCATTGGTGTAGTAGCTTCCTCTTGTTGGTTCTAGCATTAAGATGTGATACTTGGCCAAGCAGTGTATATAGTATCACAGAATAAAACCTCGCAACACCTATTAAAAAATGTAAATGTAACTTGTTTTCTTATTAATTGAGGCACAGTGGAATTTTGAGTTAGAGCTTAAAGCAGGTTTATGCACTGTTACAGGAACGAAGAACTTTCGGTTCCCTTGGAAGAGTTACTAATGTGCTGTTTCTGTGCATGTTCTGAATATAAAGTCAAGTCCTGTGCATACTTGCAGAGATACTGAGACATATATTTGGTCAGCAAAGCTAATTCTCAAGCTTTTTATTTGCTTTCCTAATTAAAAAAAAAAAAAATCTTTGGGATATTGGAAAAATGTTGTCTTCAGAATTTTATGGATATTTGCTATTTGTCAAAATGAATTGGTGAATGAGTTTACTGAACTGAAGTATGAGAAAATAGTTCTCATAGGTAATCCCAGATGACCTAAGGGATTTTAAACAATTGCTTTTTGTTGCATAAAGGTTTAAAAAGCATCTGGTTTGGGGGAATATAATGCTGCTGTCATACCTGCACCGTCGTGGCTACTGTACAGAGTACAAGGGAGTGTCATATTTATGTAAAGAACATAAGAGTGAGTTGGGAGACAGAGGAAGCATCCTTCTGCTTTAGTGTCAGCGCAGTAAATCAGTTTCTTGTTGATGTAAATTAAATATCTACTGGGTCAGGATAATTATGTCAGGTCTGTCTTGCTTTTGCCTGATTTAAATGACACTCATTCTGTCTCTCTTTGTGACTGTCCAAGCTGCTTTCCAGAGCATGGGGATTCTCCAGTCTTGTGTGTAATGTAAGTGTGTAGGATGTGCACCCCAGAACAGAGAAGGCCAACTCAATATTTTGGATGAAATTGCTACCGGAAAGAGGAAGTTATTTTTTCTCTGAATGGGAAGGGAGTGTGAAAACAAGAGACGTAGCGGATACCTTCATTAAGTCTTTGATTTGGTAGAAAAAAGTCTTTGACTACTTTAAGGACAACAAATATACCACAAGCTTCATGCAGTTTAGACCCTGTTACTTATTGACTGTGCAAGATCTAAATTACCAAACTGTAGCCTGTTACCTACTTAACTTAAAGTTTATTGTTTGGTTTTCCATATTTTTTCCCAACGTTCATCCTGTTTTCTTCTGTGGAGCACTTCTGTATGTGTTCCTACCTCGAGTTTGAATTTGGTTTTAAACAAAAAAGGCCAAAGGAGCTGGATGATCGGTGTTCATTCCAGACTCTCCGGGGTCTGCTCCTGTTCTTTCTCTGTGCATAGTCTGTTTACCTGCAGGCTTTTCATTTTAAGAAGTTTTACTCACACCCGACAATGTTTTGAAGAGTGAGGAAAATACCGAATAAAAAAAGCTGTTTTGAGCCAAGTATCATGGATAAAATGGCATGGTAGTTACCCATTCCCTATATGGAATTGCAGTATTATCTTCGGTCCTTGTGAGGAATTAAATTTTCCTTGACTTGCAGCTGCAGATCTAAACTGTTCTAGAACCATGGAGCTTCTATCGGCTTGCCCCTCAGGAAGGGTGCGGCAGGCGCTGCTGGAGTGTCTCGAGCTGAATCCCTGCCTGACCCCAGCACCTGAGTTGGAAAGGTCTGCCTGGCTTTTAGGTGCCAGTCTGATTATGCAAGTCTGAGAGATTAAAAACCCAAAGAAACAAATACTCTAACTTTTTCTTTTCATATTTGAAAAAAAGTGTCACTGTTTATTGGGGGACCAGGGTAGGAGTTAGTATTGATTCATTTTGGTCTGGTGTTCTGTTTTGTGGGTTTGTTTTAGGGTTGGTGGTTGATGTTTGATTTTTTTTTTTTTTCCTTTTAATGCTACATTTCGGTTCAGAAAAATGCTTCAGTTCCTCAAAAATAAGCAGATCAATTTTGATTCCATGGAACACTCAAGTTCTGCAGCTGTTACTAAAAGCATTTATGGATTGGATTATCAAAGAGCGTGTGTTAATTTAGAGTTTGCTTTCCATTGCAGTTCCCAGAGTGTGGTTTCTTTGGCATGTATGACAAAATTCTCCTCTTCCGTCACGACCTGAACTCAGATAATATTTTGCAACGAATTACATCAGCAGAAGAAATACATGAGGGAGATCTTGTTGAGGTTGTACTCTCTGGTAGGTATTGTTGCAATAGTGGAACAGTGCTTTATTCAGTAGATTAAAAGAAAATAGGACTTAATTAAACATTATTATCATGCTTGCCTTAAAGCATGATAGTATATCATGCTTTATGAAACCCTAAAGTCTCATCCTGGATCACTGTTTTGGGGTAGAGGTTTCCAAGAAAATCCAAGTGGTACTGGTGTTTCACTACTCAGTTTTGTTATTGTTTAATTGTCGTATTTTAATCATCTTCAGCTTTATTATTAAAAATATGAATTGCAAGAATATGAATAATATATAGGAATATATTCATATTATATATGAATATATACTAATATAAATACAATATATAATAATTTTATTATTAGAATTGTTGAAGTGGAAATACAGGTAGGATTCAGAATTTGCTCTTCCAACCCAGTCATTTGCTTTCTTTTGCTTAGATTTCTCTTATTGTTGTGTAACTTTTGTTATTGACAATTTATAGTGCCAAAAGGCTTTATATAAACTTAGTTGCTGAATCATACCTTCAAGGTCAGGCTCTTGAGGATTATTGTAGTGCTTGAAAACAGTTACTTTTAAACAATTAAGTTCTTTAAAGTGATGGTTATTAACTTGTAGTACTCTTCAATAATAAGAACCAATGCCCACCTCCAGCCCTAACTGATTTGAATTATATGTGCTTCATCAATGTCCTGTCAAATTCAGCTGTAGTTAAGCTACAAATAAAAGCTGAATTAGTATCAAGCAGCTCTTTCATACTTTAAGGACTAAGTTCCAAACTGAGGTTACATTCTACACAGATCTCTTGGCTGTCATGGGATTGGGTTTGTAAATTGGATCAATGAAGTATGATATCCGGAGTCATAAGGCTGAGGTCCTTGGCTGCATTTCAGGACCTAACTGTTCTAGGCATATCTAGGATTTTCAATGGTTGATCATCTTGTTTTGAGCTTCTCCTTGCTTCTGGTGAATGGCATGTTTGGAAAATTTGCCATGTGTGCCTCTTCCTGACAATCTCTGACAGTTTCTGTATAAACAGATAGACCACCAGAAAGCAAGGCATTTTGAAGACATGTAAATCTCTTTTAGTAGTGTTTTAAAACTGAGACATGAGAATCTGAAGTGTTAGTACATATTTGATCAAAGAATAGTAGCCATGAGGGCAAGGTAAGGTTGGTTTAAAATACCTTTTTTTTTTTTTTCCACATTCCAAAGAAACAGGGCAAAAAATTATATATCTATGCTTATTTAAGAAAAAGAATATTGCTAGTGAAGTTTCCAGTGTTCCATGGAAACTGTATCCACAGTTCTGTTTTGATACACAGAGCTGAATCTAATAAGCTTTTACTGAAAAAGTCCTCTAGAAGATAAAAACCTAATCTGTAGAACTATCTTCCTTTTGAAAATTTTGTCTGTTACAAGCCAGCTTGAAAATTAGGTTGCCCTTTCAAATGTTTACTGTTAAGTTGATTTTAACAAAGCTTGTTGTATTTGCCTTCTCAACTTAGTGATTTTTTCAACATAGTGAGTCATACTGTTGATTAGTTGTGGCCATTAGCCTACAGAATCCAAGAGATTTTTCCCTCAATAAAAAAGCTTACTGAAAACTATGTAATCTTATAAATGCATATTTAAATGGTATACAGTAAAATGCTGATGTCTAAACAGCTCATTAGTGTTCTTTGAATCTGCCATTTTTAAAACAACATATATTTTCCATAAATCCTTGTTGAACCTGGGCCAAGAACCATAACTTACTGCAATTTTTTAAAAGCTTTGGCTACAGTTGAAGATTTCCAGATTCGTCCTCATGCACTTTATGTGCATTCCTACAAGGCTCCTACTTTTTGTGACTACTGTGGAGAGATGCTCTGGGGTTTGGTACGACAAGGATTAAAATGTGAAGGTGAGTCTGTGATTTTTAGTGTATTTTTGTGTGCGTCTATCTGTATAAGATGAGGAAGAAGAAATTGTACCTTGTTTGCTGTGTTAGCACATGGTAAATGTAGTATTTCATAGAGTTGGAGGAGGTGGTGCATCAGGAACCCCAAGTTCTGATTCTGCCATCAATGCAAACAGTGTGTGGCCTTGGGCAAATGACTTAAGAAGTGTTCTTGTTTCCACTTTGGAAAAAAATAGCTAGCTTACCAGTGTGTGTTTTTTGCACAAGGAGAACATAGTTTGGAGAGACTCCCAAAGGGGAATCCCTTTCCTTATGGCCTTCACCCAGCTGGCTGCAGAGCGCTCTGCAGCCTCCTGTCGGTACCAACGCTGCTGGCCCGCTGCCTTCTCCTTGGCTCTTGTGCTCCACAGGCAGGGACTGATGAAAGCCTCCTGCTGGGGGGAGAGGTGAGCAGAGCCATCAGCTGCCTCAGAGTCTCAGACTTTGTTTCTAAAGCTGGGCTTAGTGGAGACTAGTATTATAGCAAGCAGTGCAAAAAAAGCTATTTCTGTGAATGGCATCAAGAACACTAAAATAAGAGAATTTAACAGGGCATTCTGTTTCTGCCTTTACCATTTTCCTGCATTGTCTTCTTAACTGCCTTATCAAAATGTTAGTGCTATTTTTATTATTTTCAATGTTGGGGTTTTTTTAATCTAAAAATACTTCTTTTTCAGGTTGTGGGTTAAACTACCATAAGCGATGTGCCTTCAAGATTCCAAATAACTGCAGTGGAGTGAGAAAGAGGCGTCTGTCTAATGTGTCTTTACCAGGAGCAGGGCTTTCAGTTCCAAGACCAGCACAAGCTGAACACACATCCTCTGCCTCTGAAGAAGTATGTGACGTAAAAGGGGAAGCAATTTCAGGGTTTAAATCCTTTAACCTCTGGGGAGCTAAGTAGTGTTGCAAGTGGCTCATGAGTATAACAGAGTTGAGCTTAACCTTTATGATTTGTTTCAGTTCATTTTTAAATCTGGTGAGCCTTAGACTGTAACACTTACTGATAACTGTTATTACTGTAAGAAATGAAATGGGAAGTAAATTACAACTTTTATGTATAATTTTGTTATTAGCCTGTCACTCATGGTTACGTGAACTCTGCAAACTTTGGTTTCAGGATACAATAGTTACTTGGCTAAAGAATTACAAATAGCAAGCTTTTATGCCGGGAGAGGAGAGAGTGTTCCCTATATGCAGTTAAGCTTTTCACAGAGTTAATCTAAAAGAAAAAACAAGCAGGGTTCTTTATTATAATGGTTATGATGATTGTTGAGAGGTTATCAATGATACTGCAAGTGTATTTGGGTTGTAAGACAGGACAGGCAGGGATTAAGATGCATTTGTTTTGTTGCTGCTTTCATGGTGAGGTGAAAGCAGTGCTTTTGCCACTTAGTCTTTCCTACTTACCCAAATCTATTACTTTACAGCATAGCAATTCTTACCATAGTTTGAAATATAAATTGTATTGATTGTTTAGTTCAAGAACATAATTTTTTTTAGCTAAAGGCTATGAAGCCTAGTACTGAGTCATGAAAAATATTTATTCTGACGTTTGTAAGTATTGGTAAGATCTATTCGTTGAACATTACATGGATTGTAACCATTCCTCCTATCACAGAATTTATGATTTCTACAAATGTGTGTAGTACCTCTGACACCTCTTCTTTGCTATCCAATTTCAAATACTTGGCTTAGATAATCAGTAATATATTACCATATTTGCAGTTCATCTTTCAGCTTAAAATTCCTTAGCTCAGATGTTTAAGGCCATCTTGCTTTACATGTTTCTGTAGATGTAGGTAACTGTAAATTTATCCTACTGAATATTCAGTATGATACTCAATGCATTTTTTAATTGCTGAAGTTTTTGTTTTAACTTAATTTGAAAGATTTTTTTTTATTTGGTTTCATTTCCAAAATTATTTTTCAATTTTCTAAATATCTTTGCCTAACTTAGTAAGCAGGCATGCCATTACCTTGCTTTTTAAAACTTACAGCTTGAGGTAGCGATTGGATTTTGGCTTGCCCACCACCAGTGTTTTGTATTTTATCCCTTATATAGGGGTCTGTATGTGTGGTCTGTGAACCTTGCCAGGTTGCTTAAAAAAAACACAAAGTCTTAAGATTGAATTTTTAGCATTTTAGCTTCTGTGGAAATAAAGACTTATGCATACTTTCCTGCTCTCTGCAAGGCTTTTCCATCTGGTGTTTTCATGGTTTTGTTTTACGATACCTTTTAAAGCTTCTTGGCCAGGTTGCTTTCTTATGCAGTCACTTTCTGAGCCAACACCTCCCTTCCAGCCACACTGTTATTTTTTTTTAAAAAATTTTTTTGTTTTATTTCTCTAAAGTAGAATCATATCATAGTTTGGTTTGGAAGGGACCTTTAAAGGCCATGTAGTCCAACCTCTCTGTAGATAGCATGGACATCTTCAACTAGATCAGGTTGCTCAACCAAACTGACCTTGAATATTTTCAGGGATGAGACATCCATCACCTCTCTGGGCAACCTGTGCCAGTGTTTCACTACCCTCATTGTAAAAAAAATTCTTTCTTATATCTAGTATGAATCTACCCTCTTTTAGTTTAAAATCGTTACCCCTTGTCCTGTCACAACAGGCCCTGCTAAAAAGATTGCCCCTATGATTCTTATAGGTCCCCTTTAAGTATTGAAAGACTGCAGTAAGGTCTCCCTGGAGCTGCTGCTTCTTCAGGCTGAACCACCTCTCAGCCTTTCCTCTCAGCAGAGGTGTTGCAGCCCTCTGATCATTTCCATGGCCCTGTTGTGGACCCACTCCAACAGATCCATGTCTTTCCTGTGCTGAGGATGCCAGAGCTGGACACAATATTTCACATGGGATCTCGACAGAGCAGAGCAGAGGGGCAGAATCACCTCCCTTGGACTGCTGACCATGTTTCTTTTGGTGCAGCCCAGGATACAGTTGGCCTTCTGGGTTGTGAGGGCACACTGCTGGCTCATGTCCAGCTTTTCATCCCGCAGTACCCCAAGCCCTTCTCCATCATAGAAGGCCACTATGTTGTTGAGGCAGGACTTGCCCTTGGTGGAGCCATGCTGGCTGTCTTGAATCACCTCCCTGTCCCTTATGTGCCTTAGCATAGCTTCTAGGAGGATGTATTTCGTGATCTTCCCAGGCACAACAGTGAGGCTGACAGGTCGGAAGTTCCCAGTGTTGTCTTTCCTACCCTTTTTAAAAATGGGTCCAATGTTACCCTTTTTTTCCCCCCAGTCACCAGGGACTTCACCTGACTGCTGTGACTTTTCAAAGTCGTGGCAGTAGAACTGTTTCAGTGTTTTGGTGCAAGTTGTGTATACTTTCTTTATTCCAGCGCTGCTGCCCAGAACCTAGTAAGAGAATTCCCTCCTGGAGTGGCCGTCCCATCTGGATGGAGAAGATGGTGCTTTGCAGAGTGAAGGTTCCACACACCTTTGCTGTTCACTCTTACACCCGTCCCACCATATGCCAGTACTGCAAGCGGCTGCTCAAGGGCCTGTTTCGCCAAGGGATGCAGTGTAAAGGTACACAAGTAATTTTCTGGTGCAGCAATAAACTCCAGTAAAAGTCTTGTATATAATCCTGAGTGCAACTTATGTTTTGATTGCCAGAAGGTTCTGTACTGCAAACTGGGACAATGCAATTTGAAAAACTGTACCTTTTTGAGAGGATTACAGCAGCCCTCATTTTCATTGCAGTAGGCCGTGCATCATACGTTCTTCTGAAAAATAAGATTTAATGACAGGTAGACTGGGAAGGAACACCTTGATTCTAGAAGGATAATTCTAAATTAATAAAAATGGGAAATAGTTGCCTTTGTTCAGTGTCTTTCTTCTTGATTAATCACTAAAGAATTTATAAGTTTTTGATTATATTATTCTAGTACAGAGTACTAGTTATTACCTTTTGGAAAAAATTTATACAGGTAAGTGCCTTTCCTGACTAGCTTAGGCTTCATCAACTGCATGGTTTTTACTTAGCATATGTTAAGATCCCTGACTTCAGTTCTCAGACTCTTTCATGGAGTTCCTGGGGCATAACTATGGCATTGTGATCTCCTCCTGCTTCTTGTTGCTGGAGAGTGCAGATCTGTCAGCTTCCGTGCAGGAAAGACAACTGGAGTCATGAGCTGTAGCCATTACTGTGGATGTAGTTATGGGTATTAATGGAAACATTAACTTTCTGTTTCCCTCATGTAAGTTTGTCAGATGTGAGTACCGAAGGTGGACGTTTTGAAAGAGGCTGTTTAATGTGTCTTCAGTTTCTGTTAGTAGAGGAGAGCAAAAATTGTAAGCTTGGGCCTGTGTTAACTTTCTTTTGGCTAAAAATACTGCTGTCTTATGTAAGTAAGGAAGCAGTTTTATCTTTCATTTCTGTTTTTATTGATTTGCAGTCTGTTTGAAGTCTGCGTCCTCAGCTAGTTTTGATAGGATTTTTTTTTTTTAAAGTCAGTGTGTATCTTGGGGTACCTGCAATACCTAAATAATGAAGCCTGAAAAAGGTGATTTGCAGTTTTAACATATAGATGTACCTGGACTACTGCATCCAGTTCTGGAGCCCCCAGTACAAGAGGGACATGGACCTGCTGGAGCGTGTCCAGAGAAGGGCCACGAGAATGATCCGAGGGCTGGAGCAGCTCTCCTGTGAGGACAGACTGAGAGAGTTGGGGCTGTTCAGTCTGGAGAAGAGAAGGCTCCGAGGTGACCTTATTGTGGCCTTCCAGTATCTTAGGGGGGCCTACAAGAAAGCTGGGGAGGGACTTTGTAGGATATCCAGTAACGACAGGGCTAGGGAGAATGGGGCAAAGCTGGAAGTGGGCAGATTCAGGCTGGATGTGAGGAAGAAGTTCTTCACCATGAGAGTGGTGAGACCCTGGAATGGGTTGCCCAGGGAGGTGGTTGAGGCCTCATCCCTGGGGGTCTTTAAGGCCAGGCTGGATGAGGCTCTGGGCAGCCTGATCTAGTGGGAGGTGTCCCTGCTCATGGCAGAGGGGTTGGAACTGGGTGACCCTTGTGGTCCCTTCCAGCCCTGGCAGATTCTGATCTGTTTTAGCGGAGTACTTTAGAGCCCTAATGGCTCAATGGTTGGACTTGATGATCTTGGAGGTCCCTTCCATCCTAAATGATTCTATGATTCCATGCTAATGAGTTGTGACTGTATATCCAGCTGAATAAATGGGGATGCCATATCAACTTCAGGGAAGTGAATGATACTGGATAGAAATAGCATTTATGTATGGAAAACAAGCCTAGAGAAGTGTTATGTATACATGCAGGACAGAAATAAGTACATCAGTAGTCCTCCATTTCTGCAGTATGATCCTGTATGTAGTTTTAATATGTCACGAATTGATACCAAACAAGCAAAATATTTTTATGCTGCTTTCTCCTACAGATTCTTAAGGTTTCCCACTGACTTCCTTGTGCACATCCCCAACGATTGGGGTCTTTCAGCAATCCCATGTTCCTGAGTACCTGTAAGAGCTCTGGATTTCTTTAATTGATCCAGGCTTATACTTGGACTCTAAGAATGGTCTTGGGGATGCTAAGGCTATATTTGTGGTAATAAATTAAATGTGCCCAGGAACATTCTTAAGCGCTGAGGTCGACTAAGATGAGGTGACCAATGCCCATGAGCAAGTTTTCTTAGCATCTGAGCCTGTGTGGCTGTATGCAGATTGCCTGGTTGGGAACAGTTTTGAGGAATGCTGTGGTTTATGAACTAGACCTGGGGACTGTTTGGGATTGTACTAGTGCTGTGGGCCAGAAGCATGCTGGGGGATGTTTCTGACTAGGCAGCTGCATTGCAGTACCCAAGAATTTTTCTGGACATAGTTTAATTTATAAGGACTCCCTCTCAGTCTTTCTGGTTCCCTGGTAGCATTTGAAATGTCTCAGTTTCTTCCAGTCCCCTTCAGACTAGTGAAGTAACCATATTCCAGTAATATGGACTGAAAGCATTGCTATAGAAAGGACAGTTCATTGACTGCTTCTTTGTAGGCACTTGGAAGCTGAACAGGACTGGATTTTGCTCCAGGGTTTGGCTTCTCTGCCACTAAGTGGGGAGATAATTATTTTTCTCCTGTCTGGGCTTAAAAAGAAAGCACAATGAGCTTTCCTTGGGTAGCAGAATGGGACTAAATTATCAGTTTAAAAACAGTTGTGGGGGCAGTAGAAAGTTTTGAAATTCTTTATGCTGATACAGAGTTGAAAATTCCGGCGATGCTGCTAATAAAGGAAATTCTTGTTAATACCACTGATGTTGTATGCTGGATTTTGTTCAGGAGGCTGCATCTGATACCTCGGATGCAGAAATGGCATGCATCAAGGCTGGATTCCATCTCCACATCAGGCCAGATCTGGACATAACATTGTTCTGTTTGCCTGTGTCAGCAGGCAGAAACAGAGCTTCAGTGCTCAGCCCAATCTCTAATCTGAATGACAGGGGAACTGGACTTTGTACTGCAGAGGATATTTGCTCTGTGATACAGGTGTGTGATCCTAGGGGCTCTAGTGGCTACAAGTCTTAGGCAGCAGGTGGGGAAAAATGATAGAGATGAGACATTTAAATCATATAGCAATGGAAAAAAGGATGTGGAACAAATGAGAGGATGGGGAAAATTACATCATAAATGGAAAAAACTACAGAGAATGCTAGAGGAGTAGAAAATGGTTTTGTACTGGAAGGGGAGGTGCTGACATAATAATAGTGGTGGGGCACATCAACATCAGGACAAGATTGTTCATTTCCTTCTGGAGGTGACCTCATTGGTGCTGTCTTCAGTTACATGAAAATGTGTGCATCTGAACTGAAGTTTGTGATGGAAGTAGTGAATGATGGAATGTTACTGTCTGAGTAGGAGTAAGATTCTGGCATCATGGTCTTATTTATATTCTATTTTAGATTGCAGATTCAACTGTCACAAACGCTGTGCATCTAAAGTACCTAGAGACTGTCTTGGAGAGGTGATTTTCAATGGAGGTAAGATGAGAAACATGCTTTCAAATAGTGACAGGTCTTTGGAGGTTTAACAAGATGCATTAACTTTTAATTCCCTCATCTTTGAATATATTTTGTCTTTTTATTTTATCTTCCCATTTTTTTCACTTGAGATTGCTGACAATTGAGAAGATTCACTGTAAACCTTATACTCTGACTTTGGTTTTGCTTAGTCTTGGCAAGTACAGCATGCTTTGCTCGAGAGTGCCCAAGAGAAATAAATCAAGAAGCCTTCTCAATGTACAAAAATTAGACATCTGTTGTGATCAGTCTGCTCGCTGTTCACCAGGAAATTATATATTTTTAAATGTTAATATCTGAAGACCAGTACCATTTTTTGTAACTTTCTCACATCCATGATTTTTAGTGGCCAGAGCTAGCCCAGCAGTTTATGAGGTAAAAGAGAAAGGAAGAAACCTCAGTTAGGTAGGACTATTTTCTGAATAGACCTTATGGAGTTGAAAAGGGAAGGTAAGGAACAGTATGTTTGGAGTCTTTATTTTTTAGAGCAGTGTTAAGCTGATGAAACAGGTGATGGATGAACAGACGGTGAGGTGGATTGAAAGCTGGTTGAATGGTTGGGTCTAGAGGGTGGTGATCAGTGGAATGAAGTCTAGTTGGAGGCTGGTAAACACAGGGGCAAATACTGGCAAATACTGGGTCAAGACCTGAAGATGGGGCAGAGCTTACCCTCAGCAAGTTTGCTGATGACTAGGAGGACTGGCTGATAGGCCAGAGGGTTGTGCTGCCATCCGGAGGGACTTGGACAAGCTATGTCAAATGGGCTAATGAGCTATATGGGCTCACAGGTTTTGTTGGACCAGATGACCTCCAGAGGTCCCTTCTAACTTCAGCTGTTCTGCTATTGCGTTGCCCCAAGTCTTGATCCTTGGCACATGTATTTTTGAGGGTAATAAAATCAATGACATGCAGCAGATCACACCAAACTGCACAACCTGATTCAGAGTCCTGGGCAGCAGCCCTGTTATCCAGTGGATCCATTGCCATTGCACATCGTATCCCATCTGTTCATTGCCTGCCTTCTCCAGCGCCAAGGCTCTGGTCTGGATCTTCAGATGGATGGCCGTGAGCAATAACCTGCAACATGTTGTTGCTGCAGCCCTCTTTCATCACCCCTGTGATGCTAAGGTGCTAGGGCACAGAATTTGGGAACTAGTATTTCTTACAGTTCTTCTGTGGGCATAAGGAGTTGTTTATTTTTATTTTTTTATTTCTTCTACCCTTAAATTGAGCTCTCCTTAGGAAAAAAAAAAAAAAAAAGCTACAGATATTTATATGTCTTAATTCTTAGTTTTCCACAGTGCAAGTTGTACAGCTTTTGGAAACTTTAAAATTCTGCCAGCTGGGAGTCAGATGTGAATGAGATCTCTTCTGCTTTTCTCTTCTCCTACAATACCACAGCCCTGCTTTCTTCCCTTTTGCTATTATGGGCTACAAGGGCAGCAAGAACAGAGTTGAGTTTCTGTTGACGGAGAATTTAATTTGCACAGGAATAATTCTCTGGGTCATCTCTAGCCATCAAAAGGTTACTTTGTACTGATTACTTGTGGAACAGAATTACTTAATGAGATTTAGGTTTAGACCTTAAGCTTTTCACTCTGTTTCTTTCAATATGAATCTTATTTTAGTTGGGTCTCTGTTGCCTTGGCATTTAGCAAAGCCAAATTGATAATGTTCATTAGCATACTTTGCCTCTTTTAGCAAAAATTTGAGAATTTTGTATATTTTAATTGTACTTTTATGTTTACCTGCATAAATATGAACTGAAGAAGAAATTTTTTTGGTTTTATTTGGCCTTTCTTTGTTCTTTTTTTAAATTGTGTACTTGAAATAATATCTGAATCCTGTGCTCTTTCCAGAACCTGCTAGCCCAGGCCAGGACTTGGACATGCCAATGGAAGTTGACAGCAGTGAAATGAGCAGTGATGGTAGTCGAGGTCTAGATGACACTGAAGAGCCTTCTCCTCCAGAGGACAAAATCTTTTTTATGGATCCATCTGACCTTGATGCAGATAAAGATGAGGAAGCTGTCAAAACCATCAGGTAAGCCATAAGGCAGACTTCTTTGCTCTGCAAGTACTTTCCTCAGCATTGTGAGCAAAAACATTTCTAATAAGCCAAGTTTTACTGCTCAAATGGTTGTTTTTTCATCTGTGTTGTTTTTTTGTTTTGTTTTGAAGCTTGAAAATGCTGTGTAAATTTATCTTGTCTCAAGGAACTCTGAAACATAAATTATAATAATATATTCTCTTCTAATTGGAAAAAGTGCTGTTTTATTACTGTTATCAAAGAAATAAAACTGAATTATGAAAACATGGTAAAATATATGGCTTAACATGGCTAAGACATGAATAAGGTCTTTGTGACTAGCCTAACATAGTTACTGTTATTATGTGTATTGATTTTAAAGGAATTACTTGAGATATTTTAATATTCACATCATAGTCTATGCATTTTAGGCAGAAATTTGCTTTATTTATCTTGAATGTGATTTTTCTGAAGTCTTCTGTCTGTTGTTAAATAGTTCCTTTAATCAAGCTTGGTCTTTTTACTTTTTGTATTATCTGAACAGCATCATCCCGCTTTTCTTAAGTCAGTCTTAATAACATAAGAGCAGTTGTATCAGGTCAAATTAAAGGTCATTTTAGCTCAGGGCTTAACAGCAAATACGTGAGGAAATGCATTTCTTTCAGTGATATATAGCTCAAGGACTTCCTGAGTTGGAAGTGTCATCTTTTTAGTGTTCCACCTCTAGGTAGGATTTTTCCATTCGTTTCTAATGGGATTCCAGGCAATTAAAGTTTTTAGAAGGTACAGAATCCTGTGGCAGCCAATTCTGCAGTGTAACTGTGTGCTGTATTAAAGCATCCTTACATTTCTGTTTTTGAATCTACCTTGTCATTTTGGGTTAGTATCCCATACAGGAGCTCTTGTATTAAGCAGAAGGTGTTTGACTCCCATCTTCAGTGCTATTAAAACCTGTATATGTAACTATTGACTCTGTCAGAAGACTAGAGATAGTCAAATCCTTGTCTGCAGGACAATTAATATCCCTGAGCATTGACAGTTTTCTAGTGCAGCTGTGATTTGAATTAACACACTCCTGCTTATGTTTTCATAAACTGAAAGTATGCTTAGATGAGGATGTTCATTAGTGTAATAAAAATCTCAAGAATTGTCTGTGTAAATTGACTATGATAAGGGAAAATGATAGTGATGCTGATGTTCAGTATACTTTTATGCTGGATTAAGACCACCAGTCTCAGCTAATTGTTTTGAGAGAGGGTGATTTCTATAGGTGTCCTCATTCCAATGTATTTCTTCTGTGTTCTGCAGAGCAATTTAAGTACTGTAATATTTGTACTGTGAGAGCTCAGATACCTTATTAGTGTCATCTATCAGTGACATTTGTATGGGAATAAAGGTGCCTGCTCCTGAAAATTATGGGCTAAACGTGTAGTACCATATAATTGCAGTACTAGTGTATTTTAATGTGTTGAATATTAACTGTTCCGTCTTTTTTTAGTCCTTCAACAAGCAATAACATTCCTCTCATGAGAGTTGTACAGTCGATCAAGCACACAAAGAGGAAGAGTAGTACTATGGTGAAGGAAGGATGGATGGTCCACTATACTAGTAGAGACAATCTGGTCAGTGACTTTAGTTTCTTCCTACATTAAGTTAAATTACTTCTCTAAATCAGTGTATTTAATTTCTTAGTTAGATATTCTGGTTTGCAGTATCATTTGAAAGAATTTAGCTGTGATGTTTGTTATAAAGAAATCTGGTGCAAAGCAAAAACTGCCATTTATTCAAAATTCTTCATGTGGTGATTCAACAGCATATTCTTCCTTCCTTTTAAGAAGGCAAAACATCTTTAAACTGTCTCAAATGGCTTGTTTAAGACTTCAGCTTTCCTGAGACAATAATTTTGAATAATTTGCTTATGTCTTCTTTCTGTTTAGTATTTGAACTAAATGTTTTTATCAGTGTTTTTATTCTACTGCATGAAAAGGTGGAAACCATTGTAAAATGATGAGTTCTGATACGGTTGTCATTATTATTCTAGTGATCTTGGTGTTTGTAAGTATTTATGTGTAGATATGGGAGTCTTTCATTCCCCTAGCAATTCACTCTGTGTAAAAGTAAGCATTGTTGAACACTATCCCCTCAAAATTCATTATGCCTCTTGATGTCAGTTGGATTGAGTTGTGACTTGACTGCATGTTCTAGGGTATGCAAGCATCCTCCAAAAAGACTACGTTGTTGTTTCCAGAGCTACCAATAATCTCCCATTTGAACCTTCTTTAGCAAGCTCCTTGGCTTTGTGTATTGAGGAGGGTGATCAGGAAGAATAGCTGGGTTCCTTAGAGTTATCTGGTGGGAGGGAGAGAATGCTTTTGTCCTTTACTAGATGAATGAAAAGGATGAAGTCAAGAAGTTCCCAGATCTTGTGAAGAACAGTGTCATATCAAGACTGTTCATGAAAAGCAGCATAAATACTCTTGCATTCTTTCTCTCTGTGCAGGAGTGTGATTGAAGGGGACTTCAGAAATGTAGAGATGCAAAGCTGTTTTAAGTTCTGCTGACATCAAGCTGAGGGGTGATACTAGTCAGCTCAGGATACTGTAGCATTTTTACTGTTATTAGCTAAAAACCAACACAAGTGGTCTGTCAGGAACTGCCTTACAAAAGATTTCTTCAAAACACAGTTTTCCAACACCTAGATGTATTTACCGCAAACCAAAGTAACCATCTAGCATATTTCTGATGAGATTCTTGCCAAGGCTACTTAACAGATATAATTGTCATAATCTGGCTGTGGAAAAACAAAGGCCAGGTAGCAGATGAAGATAAACAGCTCTAGCAGAACTGGTCAGAACAGACCTATTTTTCAGCTCTGATTTAATATTTCATTAATGGTACATTTTTCCATGGATGATTTTGAACCTTCTCATAGAACAGTGATCAAATTGTGCCTTAGTTTGATTTTCTTCATCTGTCAGTCTGAGTGCTACCTAGATGACATCTGCTGAAAAAGGCCATTCAGTTGAAGGGGAGTATTCTGCCACAAAGCCAGATACCTTCAGCCAAGCAAGATCTCATAGAGCTTCCTAATGGGAGGAGACTTCCGTATTAGGCATTACAACATCGGCTGTTTCCCTTGAGTGCTCTGCTCTCCGCAGTGTCAGACTATTTCCTATTCCTGAAACAACTTGGGCTTTCTGTCCCTTCCAAAGAGGGCTGTTTTAACAACAATACCTGTATGCTCCTTGCCTGACCCTGGATAACAACCCTTTCTCACCCTTTATAATGAGAAGTTTCTGTATCATCATCTGTATTCTCTTCCTCCCGCTGAGCTCATCCTTTCTCAGAATAGGGTATGGGCAGATGTTGAATCTCTGAGCGAGTTACAAACCTGTTCCTTAATTCCTCCACCTCCAAAGTCTTCCCTTATTCATGATTTAATAAAGAGCATATATGTCCATGACAGGTTCACCCTTATGCTGTCACCCAGTTTCCATTCAGTTCTCACTGGGAATTGCAGTAAGTTAAATCCACTAATGACCAAGCTCCTACAGGTAGTCTTAACTTCCCCATGACTGAAGTGATTTAAGCTCTGCTGAATTATGTTCCAGGCTTTGTCATCTTAGGCCAGAGCTAAGGGTCTTGGATTTTTGTCATAAAAAAATTAAAATGGGTTTCTAACTATACGAGCATGGTACAAGCAAAGTAAATTAGATTCATACAGCCATATCAGCTTTCTAAAAGCTTCTTTGTTTAGGGGAATAGTCTTCTGCTTAAAATTACAAGACTCTTTATGTGCTACAGCTTATTCGTATTACTTTTTAGTGGAGAAGACATTTTTCAGTGGTGGAGACTTCCAAATAATGGCTATTTAGTCTGGTTTGATTTTTATTTTTTTATCCTGAGGTATTTTGTTCACTTGAATCTCATAATCTGCCTGTCTTGCCACTGTGTGCTTTTAACCTTCTAGAATTCTGTGTTGACAAAAGAATTAAAGACTTGTTAGGCTTGCTCCATCCTTGAACCCTTGCAATGTTGGTGTGAGGGCACAGAAGGAGAAAGCATGGCTCCCACAGTTGTTACTAAATTAAAATAATTCAGAGTTTCTGAGCACATGCATCTGGAGTGAAACCTATGTTGGTAAGTGTTTTTCCTGTACAGGATAACTGCTTTTGTCACTGCTGTTACTGTGAGGTGTTATTTTTTCTGTTTCTGGTAATAATATTCTAGCCTCTTCTTGAGTTCAAAACAAAACAAAACAAAACACCAAAACTTTACCAAAACAAACAAAACCCAACAAAAAAACCCTTGTATTGCCAAAGTGTATTTTTTCATGTATCTAGTCTAAGATGCAACTGTAGATTAACATTGATTGATTATCTTAGTAATTTAAAGCATTTCTCATGTAGATAATCAGATAACAAAATCCATGCCAGTGATTTGTTCCTTATGTTATTGTACTCTGCATTTTGTAGAGAAAAAGACATTACTGGAGACTGGACAGTAAATGCCTCACATTATTTCAAAATGAATCTGGAACAAAATATTACAAGGTAATTAATGATGTTGATTAATTATGCTGTACTTGTTTTACATGGTGCTTTATAGATTTAAAGTTTAATTGTGAGCAGCATAAATATTATCTCAATTTCCCCATCTTTATAAATCAAAACTGTGGCCAGGTTAATTGTTGGCCAAAGCCTGCAAGTGAGAAGGACCAAGACCAACCCTGAGAAGTTGCTTGCAGCTCCTGTTCTAATCCTTGCAAGTATATCTCTCCTTACATTTTACATGTATCATTCTCCTGTATTACCTAGCATATTAAGGTTTCTTCACAATTACCAGAGAATTTGTTTGGCCAGCAGTTTAATAAAGGCTATGATTTTTCTCTTTAGTGGCTGAAAGCTTGCATGCTTATGTATTCTATTTTGAGTTTCCTAAAACTAAATTATTCCCAACTGTACAACTGAAAGTTGTAAATAGGATTTGGAGGAAAATTTACTGTGCAGCCTGGCATATATAAGTGAAGCTTAGCAGTAAGTTTAGTCTATTGTTAATATAGTAATATGTACAATGCTGGAATATTCAGGAAATGTGTTTGAATGGATAAACAGGATTTTTTCCCTTTCTTGTCTTACACCTTTAGGTGGGCATCCAAATCTTGCAGCTTCTTCCTTTGTAACATCTCTAAGATCGAGCCTTTTCTCTGTACACCCAGCTAAACTTGCCCAGATCCTTTTCATCCCTATTTTGACCAATGCAGTCTCTTCTCAGACCTCTCTGATACTTGTATTGCCCTGTGCATTCAAAACACAGCTGGTAAAATATGTTCCTTGCTTGTTGCTCCGTTATGTCACTGCTTTTAGTCCTTTGACTTGCCCCGTTGCACTCCGTTTTTTAACTGCTTAAACCTCAGGTTTTTTGTCTGTGCTCTTAGAATCATTCCCTGTTGTGCCTTTACATTTGGTCTTCATCAGCTACTGTCTCTTATCCCCTTAATACCAGTCTGGTGTTCACCTGCTTGTTCACTGCTCTTGCAAGTGACACGCACCTGTACACCATCCCATGTACGTGGAATGTCCTCCTGCAGCTAGTGTGAACTTGAAACCACTTCTTCCTTCAGATCTCTTCTCAGTGCTGCTTGTACTGTGATCTCAAACTGACAAAGTAGAGGGAGTCAGTAGAAATTGCTAACATCTGTATGAAAGAGATTCTTCACCTAAAACAATAAGACAAGTGAAGCAGTGCTTGTTGACTAGCTTATATAACCACATCCTCTTCTGAATGTTCTCGTTTCACTTTTTTTCCCTGTCATGTTCTTCTCTAGCTATCCTGCACGAACTACAGGGGGAAAATGGTCATTCTGTACTCGCCCATCATTTGTATGGGGTGGGAGCATGTCTCGTGCTGAATGTAAATGCAGTCTGTATAGAAAACAGTAGTTGTATGGAGAGAGCTGTGGTGGGGCTGGAGGCCTCTCTAGACTTCTCCAGAGGAATACAGAACACTGGGTGGGCAATGGTCATGCACAGTTTGACATTAGCTGTGAAGCTGGGTGTTTTGGTGCTTCAACACATTGCTTTGGTTTCTTTGCAAACGTTTTTAAGCGTTGAGTATCAGTATATTAAAAGATAATGTGCATTTTCATTTTTTAATCTTTAATGTTTTTCTTCAGGAGATTCCGCTTTCAGAAATTCTCCAGGTGACTCAGCCTCGAGATTTTTCGCACGTGGTGCAGGGCAGCAACCCCTACTGCTTTGAGATCATCACTGACACGATGGTGTACTTTGTTGGCGAGAACAATGGCAGCAGTCACCACAGTCCTGTTCTGGCTGCCAGCGGAGTCGGGCTGGACGTAGCTCAGGGCTGGGAGAAAGCCATCCGTCAGGCCTTGATGCCAGTCACCCCTCAAGCTAGCCTTTGCACTGCTGCAGGACAAGGAAAAGACCACAGTAAGCAGGCAGACGAGGCACTACCTGTCGCTCGTATTCTGAAGCTCTTAATGGTAGAGACTCCTTCCAGAAAAGTGCTTGTTTAGAGCAAAGTGTTGTCTGTTCTCTGCTGAGCTGTGTGCGTAGTTTTCCACGGGTCTCTAAAGAGTGACGCTCAGGTGTGTGGAGGGTCGGCTGTAGCGGGAAGCAGTAGCTGATCAGAGTTACAATAGGAGTGCATCTTGCAGAGGTTTATTGTAGGAGCATTAAGAACTCACATGATAAAAAGAGACCATAGTTTAGATATTTCTAATATGCTTTCATAAATAAGTAAATATTTTCAGACCATTTACATATACCCTGAAAGAACTGAATTTGAATGCTTTCTGATGTTATCCCCTGCATATTTTTTTTTTAAACCTGTGAGATGTCAGTAGCTAAGGAGAAGAAAGGCATTAGTGATACATTGTAAATACTACTAGTGATGGAAAGAACTTTTAGAGGCATGGGTAGTAATAAAAAGTACCCTGTTCTTTTTATGTACCTGCACCCTGTTCTTTCTCTGGCATGGGATCACATTTGTTACCAAGCCTCCACTAAAGTATATATTGTGTTCTTTCTCTTCAGACATCTCCTTGTTCCCTTGCAATGACATGCATTCACATCCTTTACTGAGATTTATGATTTCATTCTTTAGTTTCTTTTCATCTTCCAGCTACTCCTTAATCTTCTTCTAGTGAACTTTTCTTTTGCAGGAGATTCTGAGATTAGTTTCTCTGTCTCTGCTCTCTGGCTACTCTGCATCAGCAACAGTTAAGAACATGTGAATGCCAGCCTGAGGTAAAGGCACTTTCTGAGAACTCGGGCATGGTCTGAAATGACAGTAGTGATATCTGTGTTTGATTACAGTGAGAAATACACCTGTAGGATGGTACCTTATAACTGGCCTTATACATATGGAAAATGCTACCTTCTATATTAAATACTCTAGTTCCAAATATATATATACACACACCCCAAAGCTCTCTTTGTTTTCAGGAAGCTAAGGCTTACTGTTGCTGAGAGACTTGCCAAGACAGTTGCTTTTTTCCAAAATCAGATATAAATAATAACTTTTTTTTTTAATTGAAACTTGATAGTGGTAGAGAATAGAGCTGCAGGGTAGATACAGAAAGAAATATTTTAGCATGTTTAGGATTATAGGAGTATAAGAAGCTCCCATGAATTGCAGAGTGGTGTTTGCCTACTCTTAGACAACTCAGACTGAGATTTTTAGTTTATAAAAATCACAAGATGTCCATTCATCGCTCTTCTTCCTACACATTGTGAGCCATGAAATGTATCTCAAGAGCCTTTAAGAAAATTAGAATTTTGGTTAAAAAACCCAACAAACAAGCAAAAAAACAAAACCCCAAAGCCTCCAATGTGTTTTTTTAAAGGGAAAGACCCAAAAGAGGAGGGAGACATTGCTAGTGCTTGAAATGTTTACAGCAGCCCTAGGGAACTTGCAGTGTCAAAATGTCCACAAGACCCTATTCAAGGTCTTGACAAGACCTAGTCAATTTGTACCATATTCTGGCCAGGAAGTAGCTAGGAATGAGGGTTCTTTTCTGGTCTAACCCATGGGGAAGAGTCTTTCTGACCTTGTACCTGGTAGTTGGGATAGGATGTTTCTGAGCTGAAAAGAAAGATATTAGAAAGCTGTTACCTGGTATAGATTACATGTTGAATCTGGCATTACTGATATCTTCAGAAGTGGCAATTTTTCAACCCTTATTCTTATGCATTTTGGACACTAGAAAAATGGATTTATTTGGAAGGAGTAACTCAATCTCTACCTACCAGATATTTTGCCTTCTGTAACCATCTGTTGAGAAGGGTTCACTGTATTTTCTTTGAAGAGTTTCTAAAACTGTATGGTCACTTTCTAGTTCCCTTGTTTCAACCTTGCTGTAGTTTGTATTGACCTTAGGAACTTTTTTTGCTGCCTTCTTTCTTCTTTATCCTTGTTGTTGTGTACTGTTGTTCCAATACAATATTACTTCACTATTGTCAGTGATGAGCAGACCTATGCAAGGCTGTAATTCTAACTCCTATGTCAGGTGCAGTATTCAGAGTGTCTTTGAGAATTGTGTTTGTTGCTATCTTAAGCCTGTAATTTCCTTCTTTGAGATGAAGTACAGGGGCAAAAATGAGATGCAGACATTTTCTTTGCTCTCTGAAATTGCATTTTTAAAGTTCAAAGCTTTTAGAGTGGTAAAGGCTCTTTTCAAAGTGCTAGTGAAACTATATTATATCTTCACCTTGTAGGTAAATTTATTCTAATTCTTTTTTTTTTTTTTTTTAAATTAACAAAAACAGATGTCTGCTTGTCTGAGAATGTTTTACCTCTGTCTTGGAAGTCAAAGGAAGAGGGTGTTTTCTGCCTTCTTTGATGTCTCTCTCTTTGCTTGTGCATCATAATGTTATTCCTGTAGTGAAAAGTTTGTGTCAACATCGGCTGCAGGCTGAAAAATTCTGTGTCTTTATCTGGTGCTTTTACTCACAAATTATACTTTCTAGATGAGCTTTTTTATTCGAGAGATTGATAGGCTTCTGTAGTTTAAACAATCTTTGTTTCATGGATGTATTATGGCCTTTACTGCTTTTTTAATTACCAGGTCTTCTGTTACTTGCTTTGCTTGTTTTTTTTCCTTTTCTTATGCATTAATTCACTATGTCTTGATGGCACAGATAATTAGTAACCACATTCATTTGGCAATAAGGGATCTATCTGGTCTTCCCTGTATCTTTCTATATTGCTACCAGAAATTCTTAAGAATTTAGTGTACTCTAATACAACTGCCATGTTACTATTGCTTTTGGATCTCCAGGTCTCTACTGTGTACACACTTACACTGTTCTACTATTTTTGTAATCAGTGATATGACAAAAATAGGCAAATAATCCCAGCAAAACTCCTGGGGCTGTTTTTCTAATCAATCTGTGAAATCTGAGTTCCAGGGTATGATGTTTCTGCAGAACATCAATAAAAATTGTTTCACCATGACTGGGTTAGAAGTGAGTAAGGTGGGGTTGTTTTGGTTTTTTACTAATTTTTACTAGAAAAAGCCTGCCCTTCCTATTTACTTACTCATTTATATCTTCTTTATTGCAGAAGAGTTATCTCTAAGCATCTCTGTTTCAAATTGCCAAGTCCAGGAGAATGTGGTGAGTCATGTGCATTGTCTGATAATGGTGCTTGTTTACCTGGGTGTTATGAAGGAATTGGTAGTAACAGTGTCTGCGTAAGGCAGCAACACCAGGCTGTTGTAGCTAAAGAATTCTATGTTATATATGGGAGGTTATCTCCTTACCTGACCCAGCTGTTAGCTTGTGTGAATGTCCCTGCTCACAGTGCAGCTAAGTGGATCCTCTTCAGGGAAAGTTTGTTGTGTTTTTCTCCTCAGTTCAGAGTAATGATGGCAGCCTTTACAGAGTTTAATTAATGCCAAGTGTAAATGCAGCTTAGCCAGTACTAATGTGCTTGTGAATGTTTTGATTACTCCTGATATTTGTGATTTTTTCTTTCTTTCATGCATTAGGATATCAGTTCTGTGTACCAAATATTTGCTGATGAAGTGCTGGGTTCTGGTCAGTTTGGTATTGTATATGGGGGTAAGTAACATTAGTTTTCATTATGCATTTATTAAGGTAGAATGTTTTCTGCATTATATAATTAGCCTTTTTATAATTACTTAGCTGTATCTAGAGTGTCTAGGTGAAGTTTATCTTCGTAAAAGTTTCATTTGGATTACTGTGTTTCTCTACAGTTTTATGTACAGTATTTCTTAAAATTAACTTTTTGCAATTGTAGTTTTGCATTAGCAGCAAAATCTGTTTAGAATATGCCCTGCGTTTTGAACACAGTTAAATGCAGAACAGTGTCTGCTCTGATTTTGGCCTTGGTTAATGATTTGGGTTTTTTTAATTGCAAATTCTAACACTATTGTCTGTATTATCCAGTATTAGAAGTCATGTATTTAAGGAGGCTGTCAGTTATACCTGCTTTTAATGGTATCTGAGAGATGTGGCCAAAAGCAATTAGAAAAATACACATTTTAGTGTATGTTTTCACAGTGTTTATGCAGATGTTATTGACACAGTTTATGCAAACAGTTTAGTTACAAATTTCTGTCATCAGGATAAAGTAGAGGGAGGAATTCTTTGTCAAGAGGTCTCAGTTTTATGCTTCAAATGTACTTTTATCTCTCTTTTTTTAAAACTTCTATTGCAACATACAACTTGTTTACAATATGGAATCACAAAAATAAAAAATACTGGAAATGCATCATATGAACTCTGTTTTTCTTTTTTCTGTTTTTTAATCCTGTGTGTTATATCTCAAGTGTTGAGAAATCCACAGACCATAAATCTGGAAAGAAAGAAAGAAGTGATAACTAATGATTTAGAAGTAATACCCTGTCTGCCTCTGTCATGTTGTCTTTCTAGTAAGGAAATATTGTGGCTATGATTTTTCTGTGTGCCCATTGGGTAGTTAAATACTTTTCTCTGTTATTCTCAACTGCTTGATGGAAATGCAGTTTGGTCTGGTTTGACATCACTCTTGAGAGAGGTCTGTTTTTATTTCCCCTTTGTATCTCTTAAAGCTTATATAGCATGCTATTTCTTATTACTAGAACATGCACAAATGCAGGCAGCATTTTGATTTTATTTCTATATATACCCACATAAATTGCCTTTTGGATAAATCTCAGCTTGGTGTTTTGCATGACTAAATGCTTACAAATGCTTATAAAGATAATCAATGCTTATAAAAAGGCTTCTGTTTATTTATTTTCACTTAATAATGCCTTAAAATATATAGAATATGCATACTCAGTTTCTTAAGAGAAACTCATAAGCTAAAAGGGCATGAAAGGAGAATATAAAAGTTCTTTTGCTGGCTCGGCACATTGCATAACTGTTACTGGTGTTGGGAGACTAAATCAGGTAACTCCTAATATTGGCTTCTCTCCACTTGTGTAGGCTTACTGAAATAACGGTATCAGAACCTTTTATTTAAACAGATAAAGATAAAATTAAGTTGCTTCCATTATTGTGGGGTTTATGGGTTTGTTGTTTTTTAGTTTTGGGATTTTTTTTTTTTTATCCTTTATTCTTGACAAAGATTTACAAATTGTAAATCAAATAGTTGTAAGATACTGATGTCCAACTCCTGTTTCTTTCAGTGAGAAGAGTTTCCATCTGCTTTTCCTGTTTTGGTTAGTTTTGAATAGTCTGAGAAACTGAGATAGAAAATAAGAATTCTTAACAGTTTCTTACTGATGTAAAACTTGCACTGAAACCTGGTTGTTCGTGCTTTACTTAAGAAAAGGAATTTTCAAGCTGCTTTTCTGTTCATCTTCCTTAATGTTCAATTTTTAGCTCTAGTGTAGCCCCTGTAGTTAAGTCTTTCGTTGGTTTGGTGGTTTTACTTTACATTCTCTTGCAACCTAGCATTTTTCTTCTGGGCTTTGCATCTAGTTCATAACTGATAGTATTTATGCTACATTTCAGTATAATTTGACGTCTAGTGAGCCTGGCTCATTTTCCTTGAATCTAAAGTTTTATTTCAATTATATCTGGGTGCTGTGATTTCTAAGATCTTGCCTAAAAATTGCTGATTAGTTACAAAGAAAATGGCAGAACTCCCCAGGTCTCTCTTTCGGGACTTCTGACTTTATGCTGTTGCCTTGTGACACACTGTTACACACTTCATGCTTTCTTTAGGACTAATGTGACCTTTAAAATGTATTTTTTTTTTTTCACTTTCCAATTGTTAGTTCTCTTTGGTAGCCTTGTAAACCCTTTTGGGCCTGGAGTGATGTCTCCATTAACTGCCTTGCTTTGTTAGAGACAAGCCTGGGTTTGACCCTTTATTCACGATGCTGTTCAGGCAGGTGCGTTAGTTGCTTGGCGCAGCAGCCTTTGGAGCAAAGCCTGTGCCCAGCCTAAGCCCTGGCCACCAGTCCTGGTTGCAGAGCAGCAGGTGAGACCTGGCTGGGTGGTTAGTGAGGCGTAGCTGGGCTCCCCATAGCAGTGCCAGTAGAGTCCTCTGTGCTGCTTGCACTGTAGCTGTGTGTGTCGTCCCTTTTCCTAAAATGGCTCCCAAACCCTTCCCTGAGCAGGTAATGACTCTTTTCTGTGGTCCAGGCTTACTGCTTTCTATTAGCTTAGTATTAAATGTTGTAGATTATCAAGGTCTTGCAGTGTGTGATCCCATTGACCCCTCTGCTGTGAATGTGACAGCAGTCAGTGTAGCAGCTGTGGAGAAGCTGGGTAAGCATTTACAGCTGCTCACTTTGCCCTTGAAATGTCCTGTTTATTGCAGAATGCTTCTCATGGAGCTGATACAGCTTGCAGGAAAAAATAGTATTTGGTGCTATTAGCACATCTTTTTTTTTTCCTTACCACAGCCTTTTAGAGCTTTTTGATCATTACAGAGTACTCCAAGGGGTTAATGTGTTTCATGGCACATTACTCTCATGTTCCTGTAGAGTATTAGGTATATAATTGCCTGTGTGTGTTGAACACATGAAAGTATGAAGCCATGAGAGAAGACATGCAGCTCTTTCTTCATAGTGGTCTTGAATGCTTTTGTTGCTGTTTTTTTGTTTGTTTGTTTTTTGTTTTTTTTACAGAAGAGAGGCAGTATTCTGTGAGAGCAGGTATTCCTGGCTCACGTGCAAGTCCCTTGCACAAGCAAAAACTTCACCTAATACATCTACTGTCCATATGCACACCTGACAGCAGAGTTATAACCAGTTCAGTTTTATCTACAACACTCCTGTTGAGGCTGATCACTTCTTGTTACTCATCTACCAGTTGCAGCTTTAAAGATAAATGTAGTGATACTGTACACTTGTACAGAATATGCTTGTTTCTTCCAGAAGGAATTTCTGCTGAACTGTTTTCATAGAATTAGATAATGGTTGGACTCGATGATCTTAAAGGTCCTTTCCTACCATAGTGATTCTGTTTTGTATCTATGAATTGCTTCTACCTCTTGATGGCTGACATTAACTTTCTGTTTAGGAAAACACAGGAAGACTGGAAGAGATGTGGCTATCAAAGTCATTGACAAGATGAGATTTCCAACTAAACAGGAAAGTCAGCTTCGTAACGAAGTGGCCATTCTCCAGGTATGAAACTATTTTTGGATCATATTGGAGTTTTGTCTCACATAAGCCGTGAATGAGATTTTAAAATCTGTATAGGTGCTCTGAATTGATTTCTAAAGCTGCATATGTAATTTCTGAATCTTTTTGTAAGAAAAGATTTTTTTAGAAAAAAATCTTTTTTAGAAAAGTAGTAGCTTCTGAGTATTTGGTAGAGCTGGTAACTTGGGTGTGGTACCTACCCCCTATAGGGGATCCACTGAAGATGTGTAATTTGGTTCCATGTTGTCTTCTGCAGGTAGCAGGAAACTCTGTATTATTTTTTTGCTGTCTTCCACTACTGGCTCCTCAGTCGCTGAGTGTTATTCTTGCATGTTCTGTACACAATCTGAGTGTATTAACTATGAAGTTAATTATTATAGATAATTTGTGTTAAAACAGATTAGTCTTAGTAGTGATAATTGGCATCTCTCAGGGGTTGATGTTTGTTTCAAGCTAGTTTCTTGCCTCAGACGTTCTGTTTTTTCATCTCTAACTCTCCAGTTCACTGCTTTTTGATTTGTGATACAACATTTTACTGTAACTCAGGATATTTCATACTGTTTTATTTTGGTGATGTACCTGTACTATTTTATTGTAGAACTTGCACCACCCGGGGATTGTGAACCTGGAATGTATGTTTGAAACCCCGGAACGGGTCTTTGTTGTGATGGAAAAGCTGCATGGGGATATGCTAGAGATGATTCTTTCCAGTGAGAAAAGTCGACTTCCAGAACGAATAACTAAGTTCATGGTCACTCAGGTGGGCATTCAGTCTCTCTGCTTTAAGAGGAAAGGCTTGATTTGTCTTTTGCAGTCATGTGAGAATGGAGTTTGGAGAAGGGGTTTTCTGTGTTGTTAAGGCTGCACATCTAACTAAAGTTGACTAAACGTGTAAAGAATTTTGCATGTTAATTATGTTCATTTTTTCACCCTTCTTTCCCAAGACATAATGTTATAGACATCTAAAGATGTGTATCAAAACATTCAAAGGGGGTGGGAAGGAAGGAGAAGAAAACCTACCAGTTTCAAATCTTGATTGGCTGGAAAAAATAGTACTTGCACAGTATATACAGGTTAATTCTTCAAGACTGTGTTGATACAAATTACTGTCTTGATTAGAGTGTGTGGCTTTTGACACTTATGGTCCACTTTAATGGTTCTGAAAATGTTCTTTCCTTTTCATAGATACTTGTTGCTTTGAGGAATTTACACTTCAAGAATATTGTGCACTGTGATTTAAAACCAGAAAACGTACTACTAGCATCAGCAGAGCCATTCCCTCAAGTGAGTGAAGATTTAAAAATATTTTTCATCACTTTTCATTGTCCTTTTTAAAAAAAGATAGAGGTATTGCAGCTTAAAAAGTGACCTCGTATGGGGTTGGTCAGCTGAGTCTAGAATTACTTGAACTGCATGTGTTATAATTGACTTTTTTCCTCCTTCCAACTCTTGGCCTAGCTTTATGCTCAATGATCTGTTTCAGTTTCTTTCCCCTCAGACATGGATCATGTCTCACAACAATGCTCTGTACCAGTCTCCTTTCTTCTAAGGAGCCTGAGAAGTACAACTCCTGCCAGCACTTAGCAAAAGGCTCCATAGGCTGCATCTGTTTTCATGCTTGTGAAAACTGCACGGAAGTTTGTCTTCTGGATTAGTGAGACTATTTCAGTGGAAAAGGCACAGGACTATAATCTTCAAGACCAGTCCTCGTTCCTGTTCTGGTGCTATTTGACCCTGGAAAACAATTTCTTGCCCGTTGTACATCTCTTCTTCACTCTTTGTCTGTGTTGCTTATAGGCTGTTGTGAAAAGGGACTGGCTCGTTTGTCACTGGTCTTGCTCAGGGATCTTCGTCATCAGTATGTGTGATATTACATTGTCATGTAAACTACATACCTAATTTCTGTAAAAGAAATGTTGTTCAGTGATACTGGTATGTAGGTACTGTCAACACTTACCCCACTCAGTTATTACCTTAGATACCTTGGATACTATGGGTTTTGTGGAGGATATGCAGAAATTAGAAGCTGCTAGGCAGCATCAGGGAATTGCTTCCAGTTCTGTGACATTAATGTGGAGTGGACTTTTGGAGAGTCCCTTTTATGCCTTTAGTGTACTGCTCACTCTTATACCCTGAGGGGAGGGCTTATTAACTTGGGACTAGCATTGGACTTGTACAGATAAAAGGCTCCAGATCAAGCACCTACTATGTTCAAGGTAAAAAACCATCCCAGAACCATGCAGATCTGAGCATCATCAGTGCAGGCACCAGCTGTTGATGCTTTTTTACCTGGGTGATTATTGGGCTGTTCTGTCTAGAGCTGACTGGGTGTGAGTTCTACCTAAAACTCACAGTTTGATTTCTGTATAGCTGAAGCCCCCAACCTCAGGAGTATGATTACGAGGAATGTAGTCTGGCTGGGATTCACGTGTTTTTACATTTTGGTTCTGTGCCTTGTGAGGGTGTGGATTTGCCTCTGAAAATGAGCTGAGTTTGGAATCAAGGGGTTTGTCCTTTTTTGCACTCTTGCAGCCATGTACTACACAGACTGCCTCACACTTAAGTCTCTGCAAGGCCAGTTCAGGTGTTGGTCGGGAGCATGATTGATCCACAGTCTGCAAAACCAGCAACCTAAAACCTTACCTGACTGGCCTATGTAATGTTTTGTCCCTCTTTTAGTGTGTAGCTTAAATAATGGCAGCAAGGGTATCAAGCGCCACTCTGGTTTTGGCGGGAGCGTGCGTTGGAGATGAAGCAGAGGTTTCTGGGTTTAAAATATGTTTCTTTTCCAGGTGAAACTGTGTGATTTTGGCTTTGCCCGTATCATTGGTGAAAAATCTTTCAGACGTTCTGTGGTGGGGACACCTGCTTACCTTGCTCCTGAGGTGCTCAGGAGTAAAGGCTACAACCGCTCCCTGGACATGTGGTCGGTGGGAGTTATTGTCTATGTGAGCCTCAGTGGTACATTCCCCTTTAACGAGGATGAGGATATAAACGACCAGATTCAGAACGCAGCGTTTATGTACCCACCAAATCCTTGGAAGGAGATTTCTAGTGAAGGTAAAGAAATTAATTTTTTCTATTACAGTGTCTTTCTATGTAGATATATTCAAGTGCTTAAACCTCAGGGTTCATTCAGACAGGAGTGTGAGAATTATTGATAGTTGTGAGTTTAGTCGACTATGCCAGAATGGATAAATATGAGCTGGCATGGATTTGTAAAATTGTCAAATACGGCCTTTTAGATAATTTTCAGGATAGGAGGAGCCAATAGATTTAGGAAGAAAAATTGTGTGTAAGTAGTGGCATGAATAACCTGAAACTTTCCAAAATTCTCAATGAAAAGTTAAATCATGTGTGAGTATTTACTGAACATGGATCTTAAAACATACGTTACCTAAACTGTAATTGCAGAAACTGTTCAAAGTTGAATCTGGAATTTTAGTTTTGAACATTGGCAAGTGAAACAAAACCTGGATCTCAGTGTCAGATCTTAACAGTCTAGAAGTTTACAAGGTTGGTCTCCAGAGCTCTCCAGAGCCAGCTTTGTTATTAGTAACGTGTATATGATTAACACACGGGTAGAGGTGGAAGGACATAGAGAAAAGCACACAGTAGTGGAAGTACCTATGTCATGTTGGAACACAGATTGAGGCCCAAGTTTAGGCACTTGTGAAAATGACTAAAATCCATCAGGTAAAATGTTAAAAAGTAAAGCTTTTAGTGTTTCCATCAAGGGGGCAGGAAAGTTTGCCCCATAGCTATTTTGTAGCCTCATTTAACATAAGCAGAGCTAAATATACAATTCAAGAGCTTCATTAAGTTTAAAAGAGTTCAGTAGGATATACACACATACAAAAAATTCACTTTTGCTGGAGCATTTGAATAATTATAGAGGTGATTAGTATTTAAGGAATGTAATTTTTGTTCTGTTTCTCTTTGTCAGCCATTGATTTAATAAACAATTTGCTTCAAGTGAAGATGAGGAAACGTTTCAGTGTTGACAAATCCCTTAGTCACCCGTGGTTACAGGTAAACCCATCTGCCTTTTTCACTGTATTTATAATGGGTAAATAATGATTTTTTTTTTTTTTTTTTATGAAATCTGCCACTGTCAGTCTGTTAACAAACATTCTTGGAGGCTTGAGAATTTCTGGATTTAGCTTTACATTTTACATGCTCCAGGATTCTGCCCATCTATTGGTGGCTTCCTTGCTCCAGGAAAATTGCATCGTACTGTGCCTCCCACCCTTGGGCCCCTCTCCTGGCAGTGAGGAGTGTGTGGAGCCCCAGGGAGGTCAGTGCAGGGACCAGTGCTGCTGGTTCAGTACTGGAGCAGACACACAGGCTGGCACCTGCTCTAACCCCGTGGTCAGTTTAGAATGGAACTGTTTGGACTGGAATTTATCTGCCACTTTGGCACAGGTTCCTTTCACAGTGGTTTCTCTCACAATACTGTGAGCACGTATCCATGCAGACAAATCACTTACAAGATATTAAGGGGAAAATCCAGTTAATTTTGAAAAAAACCAATATTGGAACAAGTATAATTTCATGTATGTGGAGATATACAATTAATTCTATAATAAAGCTAATAGTGTCTCATTACAAAAGGTTTTCATGATTTACAGTAGTAGAACCTTGGATATCAACCTATTTAACTTTGCACCATTCTTTGTGGACAGTCTGTTGGGGTATTTGGGGGGTGTGTGGGGTGTTCATTTTTTAACAGATCTGACCGGTTACGTCTTGTGGCTATTTATACTAAAAGTAGAGACAAACTGCAGAATTTATCTGTGGGAACATAGTGCTGCTGTTTCTTAAATTGCTTCCTTAAATCTCTTTTGCTCCTTAGGATTATCAGACCTGGCTTGACCTCAGAGAATTCGAAACGCGCATCGGTGAGCGTTACATCACTCACGAGAGCGACGACGCGCGCTGGAAAGAGCACGCCTGTGAGCACAACCTCGAGTACCCCCAGCATTTTATTATGGCTCCTAATCCAGATGACATGGAAGAAGACCCTTGATTTATTTGTTACAGTAGATTGCAGCAAAGAAGGATGCTCCAAACAGAAACTGAAGCGAAGCTTTGGAACAATTGTTGCTCTTTCTGAATGCTGCACTCGCGGTTCAGTGTACAAAGCCCCAGGGGATCCTGCATTGACATGGGAATAGGCTGTCTGTCACCTGAGAAGCTTTTCTCCATCTGACTTAACTATGAGTTGTTACTGGACAGTGAGATAAGCCCCATTGGGTAACATTTCACTGACCTGTGCGGCTACAAAGCTGTTACTGAGGTGTAATGTGCACAGATTGGTTTGTGTGTTTCATTTCAAGATGTGGTTCAGGTTGTGTTTGGTTTTGGTGTTTGTTTTTATTTTTCTTCATAGTCTACACAATAAGAATTTTGTAATGGTTTTCTAATCCCTATTTACTAGGCCATAGAGGACTGTTTTCTGTTACTTAGATACATCTCCCATTTTCTAAACTGTGCATGGTGAAAAGACTGTTGAAAGAATCAATGCAGAATACCTTGGCTAACAGCAAAACGTGGTTGGTTTAGGTCAAATACAGCTTCACAGATGAAGGAATAATTTGCTGCTGTTAAGGACAGTTAAGTATGTGTGGCTTTGCTGTAACTGAAATCTTCCTGGATACCCCTAAAAAAGAAAACCCCATAACTTCTTACATTCCTCTTGAAATGCTGGCTGACGATCTAAAGAGGTGACAATCACAGCTATGCTAGTCCTTTATTTTGTCTCAGAGCAGTAAGCCACAACAGTGTGTTGCTGTGCAAGGCTGGCACACCAAAGCCGTTTTAACATTTAAGATAAGTTGCTGTTGATACACACCAAAGGCATTTTGCCTTAAATCTACACAAGTAATGCACCAAAAGCACACAGGGCTTGATGTAGCATATCCTTTCACTCTGGAGAAGACAACTTCTAGCAGAAGGATGTGGAAGAATAGGGAAAAATACGTGCAGCTTTCTTCTCTTGTTTTGAATAATTAGATTTTAAAATTTTTCTAATATTTTTCTAATGTGTTTTAAGGTTCCCTGGACTTACATCAGGAGTAGTTTGTAGCTTGCTAGCTTGTATCTTAACTCTGCTCAAAACCTAGGAGTAACAGTGGACATCAAATCACCTGTTGCTTCTGCCAGGGCAGCTGGATTGTAGGAGGAAAGGGCTTTGCCTTCCAACCTTAACCTGCAGCTCCTCCCGCCCTCCTTACTGTGCTCAGTGTTGTTGAGCTGAATGAAGAGTCCAAAACCAACTCCTAATTTAGTTTTTTATGTAGGTGCCTCAGTTGATGGATTCCCAGACACTGGGCTTGGCACAATAGAGAGGAAGCAGCAGCATTCTTTGGAACCGATGCCCTCAGAGGGCACTTAAAGTTCACAGTATTTGAGAGAACTTTTGAGGCCATGAATGCTAAATGCAAATGGCAAAGGTGGTTTCTTCTGTTCTGTTTTAAAGATGGAAAAGGTGAAATCTTTCCTTTTGAGGAGGATGACGGTGTGGTGCTGCTGGAAGGTGCTGAGTGGCTGTACATATCCCTCATGTGCCAGCTTGCCTCACTGGAGCTTGGTTTGAAATGCTTTTTAAAATAGCAATACCGGCTTGAACTGCCAAGTCCGTGAGAGGCTTTGGGGTATCTCCTCTCTCCTACAGAGGTGTTTTTGTGTGCCAGTGCGTGTGTGCACCTAGACAAGTATTTTTTTTCTGCTGTTATTCAGGTAAGGAAGCAGGTGAGCAGACTTTTCTAAGTTGTTAGATAGACATAAAACTTTAGGAGGTTATTTCGAGGCTGGCAGCTGCTGGCAGTGACGGTGACCTGGCAGTAAATCAGTGGCAGTTGCAGAAGGATGTACCCACAGGTGGGTTTGGGTCTTTAACCCACTTTTTCTTTTCCTGTTGCCCTTAATCTGCCACTGCATTTTGTAGGTGCCTAAGTTCGTAAGGGCTGAACTCTGGCTTCCCTGTTATTTTTCATCTTGTGGAACCACAACAATTGCCTGTGAAGTTGGTAGTTTGGTGTTTGCCCAGGCTTGGCAAGGGAAGTGGTGTTTTTTTTTTTTTTTAGGAGGTGGTTTTTTTTTTTTTTCCAGCTGCCACTGCTCAAGTGACCAAATTTCAATGAAGCCATTGCTATCTTCCATCCTAACTGTAAAAATATAGATACATTCTGGTTTTAAAGTTCAGATTTTCTATTTGAGCTGTCATTTCAGGTTTTTCTGTGAGTTTGTTTCTTGTGTTAAGGGAGGAGATAAAGCCAGCTCTGTCACTCACAAAAGCACAACAGGAGCAGAGAAAGGAAGGGACAATAATGAAGGAAAAGGCCTGGCTGACGTCTCTCCCTGTGAAGTCTGCTCTGCTTGAAAATATGAGATATTTATTCTTGAAGTGTTATTAAAAAAAACTCCAAACTGTTAGCCTTTGGAGGAGATTGCCTGAACATATACGCAGACTTATGGGGCCAGACACTAGAAGCCACAAGCAGCTAATAGTTGAGGAACCAAAAAAAATTAGACATACATTAGGAGTAAACTTTCTTTGAAGTAGTAAAAATAGCTGAGTTTTTTATTCCCTTTTTTCTACCTTTACTGCAAACTCTGACAGCAGTAGGTTACAGTGTTTAATAACCTTACCCCTAGATGAATTAAGTTGCATTCATTCAAGAAATAGTGTTACAATGATGCTAGAAAAAAGCTCATGTAAAATTTATAGCCTCAAAAGGACACTGTCAAGTACTTTTATATTTTTATACATCCCATTGTTTGTAAATACCCTCTGATAAGCTTGAAAATAAAATTTATTTCCCTATCGGACTGGTTCTTTTTATTTACATGAATTATCTCTCCAATCAAATGTTCTTAGAAATGGTCCTTTATACTTCCCAATTTGTGGGAATTCTGTTAGCAGGTGCTTTAGAACTAAGTCATTCTTCTTGGATGGTTCCTGTCACCATTCTCTTTTTATAAAATATCTTCAGAGCTGTCAAGGCACCTTGTGTTTGAAGGAAGTACCAAAGCTGAGTATGTTTAAAGTCTCCTTAGCACATCTGTGTGTTACAAGTTTTAACTGAATTCCAGCAGTAAGTACTTCAGTCAGCTCTATGGTAACATAGTTCATCCTCTGCTCTGCACACCCTGGTTCCTCTAGGTGCAGTATTTGATTTCCCCACGTGCTGCTCTGTGTGGTGCAGTCAACAGGTTTAGCATGCTGCATGAGGCAAGCCCTACCAACATGTCACTAGGCCTTGAAGCACAGACTGGTGTGAAAACATTGCCTGGAGAAGTTATTTGACATCTCATATGCTTTCAGTTAAAAGATAGAATATTTAGTTCTTGCTATACTGGGTATGTAGCTATATGATATGCCGATTCCATCAGTGCAAAACGTTTAGTATGTGAAACCATAAAATGCAGGACTCTATTCCTTTTTACCTTGTTGTTTTTTTTTTTTTTTTTTTTTTAATTTAGCAAGTTGCTATTGAAAGCTACTACAAGCAGACATTTTGCTCTGGTAATTGAAATTACTTCAGTACGAGTTCGCCAAATCCAGCAACGGGCGGTAAGGGAGGTTTTGATTCTGGCTGATGTTTCTTGTCAGGATGTACAAGTCTGTGGTGAGGCAGCAGGGCAAAAAAGTTGAAACAGTCCCCCATCTTCTTGGGATTCATCAGCATGTCATAGCTGTGAAGTAACTGTTCATGTGTTGTAGTGTCCTGTGAATTCTGCAAGAGCACCTAAAAAAAAAAGTGTAGGTTACAGCCCTTTCTGCTTTCCTATAAATTCCCTCATACCTGCAATCTCCTGTTGCACCACTTACACTGATGTGACAGCCATAATTACAGTAGACCTGGTGAGATCCCTGGTGGAGCTCATACACTGACATATGTGGCAAAGCTTTGCATTAAATACTTCTAAACATAATACCATCAGTTTACTTTGAGGGATCCAGAGTAACTTCTGTCTAGAACAAACTCTTTGATCTCAAATCTACACGTTTTGAATAACTTCCTTTTAAAATTAGATTTTTATAAAAGCTCTCTTGCTTTCTTAAGAATGCTGCTTGTGGATTAGAGTTTATTTACCTGCAAACACTACAGTACCTGCATCCGGAGATCAATGCCCATGTTCTTTAAGAATTCCCTCTGTTTTATGGGGCCTAATGTGGCTGTTCTTCCCTGGGTCATCTTTCGAAGATAGCTGAAGTCAACATCTGCTGTCAGGTCTGCTGTACCTGGAGCTTTCAGCACATCATGAAGTTTGTGATTCCGGAAACCCTGAAAAGTTAAATTGGAAGATTGTACTGGCCTGTGTTCCAAGTTGTGCCACAGCTGGGGCTAGCAAAAACTAAGTTGTGAGGGGTGAGAACAGCAAATCATACTTCCAAAGTTTGAGATAAATGTAGCAAGGGCTCAGAGTATCCTTTCTGTCTGACAAGAAGCCCTCATGGGTAGTGAATAAATAAGAACTGAGTTTTACAACTGCAGCATAATGCAGTTTTTGCCATTATGTCTACCCAAGACCTTTCTCTTTCAAGAGCCTATTCATCCAAGCAACAAAAGATAATGGAGTATTTTGGCACATTATTTCAGGGTAAATGACTCACTCGGAAAGTGTCAGTTTTGGTTCCATCATGGCCATAATCAGCAACCAGTGCAGCCCCACCATCCTCTTCTATACGACAGGCAAGCCTCTGAATGATGACACCAGCATCAGGACACACTTCCACATGATCTCTTGTTTCTTCAGGCTAGTGCACAGTTCAGAGATCAAAACACCTGCATCAGCAAACAAGTACAGGGCAAGAGTTCTTCACGCTTGTCTTGGGACGGTCGTCACTTCACTGGGGCACAGAGGTCCAGGGGTGCAGCCTAGGCTACCTAGGGCTCAAGCTGGTTTTTGCTAACCATCATTTTCAATTTTCTGAGTCACCTCTTCAATAACCTCTGGTCAACTGAAATGAGAATTTTTCTGACAAGTACTAATACCTGCATCAGCTGCAACTACATTATGGTGGTACTAAAAGAATGGAAAGAGCTCAACTGTGCATGCCCTTCAAAAACACCTTTCTCTGTGAAACTGTAGTTGTTTTTAATCTTAACTACTTAGTTCTGTAACTTCAAGAATTTAGTGAACTTCAGAAAAGAAAATAATCTTTGACACTTTCCATCAATGGTCAGCACAGCCCAGAAAGTGGCCAGCTGCACTGAAAGCAGGCTGAGAGCCTGGCTGAGGCAGGGCCCTGTGTGACGCATGCAGAACTCTCCCTGTTCCTTGCTGCCTCAGTTTGCTCCCTGAAGCATTTTATTTAAGCTCTGATTTTGGTTTTGTGCTATGTTTTCACAGCACACAAAGCTAAATGCTTACAGGAGTTTTGCAGAATGGAAACTGTAAGCTGCATTTACTCATTCGTAGGCTGAGAGCCCTCCTCTTGCTGTCAGAGAAATTTGAAATTTCAAATGGGTAAAGATGAAAGTGTGAACTGTGGTAGGCGTGACCTTACCTGAATAAAGTTTTCTGAGGCAGGGGTACTGGATGGCGACAGGACAAAGCGCAGCTGGCCAGGGGCTGCCGGGTCTATATCCACCAACACTTCACGCCAGCCCTTCTCCGTTCTCTGTTCAACCAACCCAAAGGACTCATTTTACACTCCTGACAGGAGCAACTGTATCTTCCTTATTTGACTGAACTAACATGTCAAGCATTTTCACAAACATTTTTAAGAACATAATGTGCTATTAACAACTATTCATTCCTATTTCATTCCAGTAACTACCTTGGAAAAAGCTTGTGGTACAGACTCATCTACAGAGTCAACAAATACAGGTTTAATTACACTCAGAAGAAATGATGCTCTTAAGATAAGTAAGTGCTGCCTCTTCTACTGACAGTGCAACATTTAGCTTACCAGAAGATTTTTACTACAAGATTTTCCATTCAAGAACAATTACTAATTTTAGTTACCCCTGAATTTGTCCAAATTCAGTTAGGAATATTTTATCTCCAGAGGCAACACGTGTGTCTAGTTTTGCATGCTAATTCTGTTCTTCCTCAAAGAGAAAAAGGCAATTAAGCAGATGGTCGCAAGTAGAATAATCTCCTTGCTATACCTGAAACTTATGTATTGGCAGGGCATCAAAAAACTCATGCGCTAGGTAAAAGCTGTAACCTGTGGGAAGGTAAAAAAGAATGCATTATTCATGCTTCCATAGCAGGATCCAGTTGAAAATTAAAAGGTTTTTATGATTTTTAATGAATGAAGCTAGTTAGCTTAACGTGGCTGTATGATAATTATCATTACTTCCAGCTTTGATATATCAAAGAGAGCATTTCTAGAGCTAGCACTGTCTTCCAGTCCATGAATTTTAGGTCAGTGTCTCATGAAAGGAGACTCAGGCAAAGCCAGTAAATGGTTTCCCATGAAAAGAAAAAGAATATATGAAATTCCATAGTTATCCCAAAATGAATGTACTCAGGACAGGGAGCAGGTAGGAAAATGAGTCAATATCTTGCCTCACTCGTACAAGAAATAAGAGCACATCTGTATATTAACTACTTTTCTACCTGTTCTGAAGGCCAGCAGAGATGCCCTCTATTACCAAGAGCTGCAAACGGAGGATGGAGCCCCCCCCGTAGGAAGGCGCTCGAGCCCCTTACCTGGTGGCACATCTTGGATGTCTCTGTACCAGAAAATGGGAATTCCAGTCTTGCTAATGCCTTTCATGTAAGCAGACCTGTCCTCGGGGCCTGACTGCACCTTCCCCCCTGTCAGCATCAGCGCTTGGACCTCGCTGAGTTTGGGACTCACTTCCACCAGGTGAACAGAGACATCACATTTACTAAGTAAAGAGGCAAGCTGGTTGAAAACCTATAAAGGCAGATGAATTCTGTTAGACACAGTCACGTGCTGTGTACGTTAAAGGTTTAAGAACTAACTTTTAATCTCATTATTTATATTCAGGACAAAAGATTTAGTTGGCTTCAATTTATCAGAATAGCCTCAGCGAAAGAGACTGCATTTTGCTCCTCCAGGAAGAAAAGGGAACTTCTTCATCAGTTTTAACAAAAGCTGCTACACTTCTAAAAAGCTGGCAAAATACAGCTCACATTATATAGTTGTAAGAACAACATGGAAAGTTAATAGAATAGTAATAGCCTGTAAGTGAGTAGCTCCTCTAATGCCTGCTGAGGGTTTAGTGTTAGGAGAAAAATGGTTCTGTTTTTTCCAGGCACCATAACAAATAGTGCTCAATATCCTAGATTTCACTGTGGTTATTAAACATTCTTCTCCATTAACGTACGTAAACAGAATCAAAGTTCTTCCGAGGTACTAAATCCCATTAGTGACTTGTTTTTGAATCAGTAGTATTTTAATTAACTCATGGAAGCATGATCAAACAGATGGGTTTAACTGAGAAGAAATGAGCCCCTGGGGTTCCCAAAGGGACTGACATAACTCTACTCCTGTTGCTCTCCTGCCCCCTTCCTCCTGCTGGTTGCACTGAGGCCTCCCTCCACTGCAGCCCCTCCTGAATGGTTTTCAGTTTGGATAATGCTTCCTGCACAGAAATAATTTGTAATGGAATATTTCTGCCCTGCCCTTCTACCAAGCAGTGTTTTGTAAAACAGTGTGCACACACTGGCCCCTGTTCTGCTTTCAGCTGAGACCTGGTCTCCGAAACACATGGCTATGTTAATTAGAGTCTAGGCTGCCAATCTCCTGACCGAAATTATCTGGTTACTAGGGAAGGTTAAATTCCAACAGCAAAACATCATTTCTTCAGATTTCAGAGTAGCCATGGAACAAAGACAGAAAGAAGAGTTCATAGTAGTTTTCACCTACCCGTAACAGGTCATCAGTAAGAGTGCCCCTCCCGGGGCCCAGTTCCACCAGCTGGAAGGCTGTAGGCTTGCCCATGGCTATCCATTCACTAATAAACCATATTCCTATTAACTGACAGTGAGAAACAACACAAGGAAAGAGGCACAGTGTAACCTGAGAACTTGTACAAAGCGATACCTGCCTTTTATCTGATAACTAAGATACAATATTCTTTCTCTGTATTGTAAAGCTACAAAAAATCATAGCTTTAAAACACATGTAACACATAATTTTACCTGCTCTAAGAATGAAAATTGCAACTGTTTGCTGTCAGCCCAGCAGAAGCACTCCATTGGTACATGTGCGGAACTCTTTTCCTAGCTGCAGCAAGAACTTTTACTGAAGGCTCAAGTGCAGGTTTCTGCCTCTTTACAACCGTTCTTCATGACAGCACCTGTACCATCTAGAACCGTGTTTAGCCAGCCTTCACTACTGGGAATGATACACAAACCAGAGTGAACCCGCCCAAAACATGAAGCTGATTTCTGAGTTCTCACACTGGGAAACTATCGTAGCTCTTTTTACTTATAAACAAGGTCTATATGAAGATTGGTGTTACTAAGCAGAGATGGTGTGCCAAATTGTACCACAAGGAAGGACTCCCTGATCTTCCAAAAAAACAGAACACCCCATCCTACTCCAAAACCAACTTAACTGTAATTTAAGAACAGAAGAAGTTACTTGAAACAGGAAGAGCTCTGCATTACCTCTCCAAAAATCTGACTTATTTCAGGCGAGGTGACAAAATCCCCGCTCTCGCCGATGCCGCCGCCGCGCGTATAGTAACCCTGCGGGGGGAGAGGGGAGTGGAGCCGGGGCC